AGGTCATACCTATTCGAGATAGAGACGGCTGATGGGAGAAAGCAACAGATCACTGGGGTTTGTCACAAGGCAGTCATAGAGGTCCAAGGGGTACGAGTGACCCTGCCTGTCTTTGCAGTCAAGAACTGCAGCTCCGACCTGCTCTTGGGTCGAACGTGGTTGAGCCACATGCATGCGGTAACGACAGAGCGACCTGATGGGAGCCAAACATTGTCCGTTAGGAAGCTAGACGGGACGCGGGTAATCATTGAGACAGTGGAGCCTCGGGACCCGAGGAACACAGCAGCTCTCGCTGTGGGTGCGAGACCCAGTGATCAGATTAAGTCGTTACCTATCTCCGGCCGTGCGGTGCGATTTCGCGAGAAGAAATATGGACCACTTCTCACAGAGGAAGAAAGTCGGATCGTGGAGGTGGAAGATTTAGGGAGTCGGCTAATAGTGGATGGCAACTCGTACCCAAAGGAAAAAGATGAGGAGTTTGGCGGTGTGGTATCCGTGTCTTTTTTAAGGGCACGGCCCCCTATGGAGGGCTACCCAAGCGACACAAGCGAGTAGCTAAAAAAGTTAAGCTAGCGGCGGTGGGCCGCGAGCGATCTGCACTGGAAGGGATATCGGAAGAAGAGATCGCGAAATAAATCAAAGAAAGAAAGAAAAAGGAGCCACAACGCCTAACGGAAGAGAGGATAGCAGGGATGGACATCGGAGATGGAAATCTGACCCCACAGGAGCGAGAACGTGTGATAGAAATTCTGAAGACATGTGATAAGGCAATAGCTTTCAGCGACGCGAAGCGCGGTAGGATTGACCCTCGATACGCTAAGCCAGCGAGGATTTATACGATTCCACATGTTCTTTGGAATGACGCAGGATGGAAATACGCCCAGAAGGAGAAGGAAGAAGTTATCGCTTTCCTGAAAGAAAATATGGTTTCCCACGTTGCGGAGCCGTCTGATAGCGCTTATGCTAATCGATGGTTCTTCCTACGAAAGCCGAATGGCAAGATCCAATGGATCCAGGACCTTCAAAAGTTCAACGCGGTGACGATACGAGACGTGGGCTCCGTGCCACACGCCGATTTACTGGCAGAAGACGCCGCAGGTAGGTCGATTTATTCGGTCTGTGATTTGTTCTCAGGTTATGATGAGATACCGCTTGACCCTAGGGACAGGCACCTCACGATTATGCATACGCCATTGGGACTAATACAAATGATGGTTGTCCCTATGGGTTGGACTAATGGGGTAACCGTTTTTCAGAGAGCCATGGTAGCCGTCCTCAAGGACTTCATCCCTGATAAGGTTGAAGTTTTTATGGATGACTTTCCTATAAAAGGGTCAGTAGAGAGGGATGAGAGAGAGGTTGTACCTGGAGTTAGAAGATTCGTCGAGCAGCACCTAACAGATATTTGCACGGTACTCGAGCAGCTGGACGATGCGAATTTAACAGTCAGCGGAACAAAGAGCCGATGGGTCGTCTCGACTATTAAGATCTTGGGCTTTATCTGTGACTCGAGAGGACGCCGAGCAGATCCGGCGAAGTTAGACAAACTTATGAACTGGCTGTCACCGTTACATAGCCCAACCGAGGTCCGACAGTTTCTAGGAGTGGTCGGTTACTGGCGTATATTCATACGGGGGTATGCGGAGAAGGCTGAGC